GGGACTAGCCTATCAATTTCTCACTGCATTGGCATTCCAAATAAATCATCTTCTTTACCCCAGCAACTTGTCCTGGATTCACTGAGCCCCCTTTAGAGCAATGAGTAAATTGACTTGTGTTCAGTAATAACGTGAAATACCAAAACCAAAAATTTTGTTGTGAAAAAAAATGTGAAAAGGGGAAGATAGATAATTCTTGGAAACATGCTGAATGAACTGTATATTTTCTGTGCTCATTCTGATAACTAGTTTTTCTCGATGACTGGCATACAAATTAGATACAAAAATCTCGGCTGGGTTTGTGGCTCAGTGCTTGTCTCACATGTGTGAGACATTGAGTTCAATCCTCGACACCACATAAAAATAAGTAAAATAAGGGCTGAGGTTGTGGTTCAGTGGTATAGTGCTTGTCACATAAAAATAAATAAACAAATAAAAGTATTGTCCATCCACAACTATAAATAAATAAATAAATAAATAAATAAATAAATAAATAAAGGTATTGTGTCCATCTACAATAAACATATATTCAAAACATCCAAATTTCAACTGAATTTATTGTTTTTAGAATAGGCCTTTCCTCTGAATATTCCATTATTTTGATTTCTATTTTTAATAAGAATGCAGTAGAGGAAGGGTATGGTAGTGTATGTCATAATCCCAGCTACTTGGGAGGCTGAGGCAGCTTTGGCAATTTTGTGAAAGCATGTTTCAAAATTAAAATTAAAAAGGGCTAAGCTTATATCTCAATGGTAGTGTGCACATGGGTTCAATTCTTAGTACTACTAAAATAAATAAATAAATTAATTAATAAAAATTTAAAAGCGGGGGCTGGGAATGTAACTCAGTTGTTGAGTATTGGCCTACCTTGCACAAGGCCCTGAATTCAAGCCCATGTACGGGCAAAAAAAGAATGGAATGGAGTCTACACTATTTTATATTATTTTCTAGAATTCTGAAAACCAAGTCCAAATAGTTTGATGTCTTTTACAAAAGTGATTTTGCTTTTTTGTATTTTCAAGTGTCTTAGAGCATAAAACAAAAGTATATCAACTGACAATTATTAAGAAAAATATTTTATTTCATTCAATTTTGTACTTTTGGTTTGCTTTTCTATCACTTCCATGGCAGAAAGTGATATATCTTTTCATTTAGAAGAGTTTCAAATAGCTAGCTATTTTAGCATTCTATTTACATCATTAAAGAATTTCACACTGTCTAGAAGAAGAGGTATGAAGAGTAACATATTTCTGTGAGCTAGAAGCTGTAATGTGGTCATAGAGCTTGAATTTAAAATAATCACCAAAATTTTATTCTAATTCCCTAGCCACCAAACAAAACACAAACACATTTTTTCTATATCTTATGTTTTGTGGAAAGAAAAATTATTACAAGTTGTGTTTATACTAGGCCCTTTGTACAGCCTTCATTGAAAAGATAGTTTTCTATCTCATTGTTTTCAAAATAAATTCCACAAATTAAAAAAATGAATAAAAATGAAAGTATATATCATGAAAAAACATTGAAATTTATTGCAGCTAATCTAACTTACAATACTGAAGGATGTTCTTTAGTATGAAATAAAAGTCCACATTAAGAAACAAAGTACACCGTTGAAAGGAAATATATAGGTAAATATAAAATTCGGCATAAATTTATTTTGTGTTTATGACTTTTTTCTTCTCCCATCTGATTTCAATGATGACTGCACATGCAATAATTATAAAAATGTTGATAGGCTTATAAAATGTATAAATAGATAATGTGTATAACAATAAAAGTATAGAGAAGTTGGGAGGGAACATACTTGCAGAGAAAAGTTTTGTAATCCATTAAAATTGTTGGTTTGAATCAGAACTAGATTGCTTTAAGTTAAGAACCTAATTATAATCCCATATCAAAAGAAAATTGGTAAAAAAATAAAAGGAACAAAGGAATTTTAAAGTTAAACTACAAAATATCTGCTTAACACAAAAGGAGGCAACAAGTAAGGAAGAAGGTAACAAAAAAAGCTTAGCACATATGCAAAACAAACAGTAAAATAGCAGGCATAAATCCTATCTTATTTATAATTACATTACATGGAAATGGTTTCAATACCCAAATCAAAAGACAGATTGTCACAGACTTGATTAAAAAAACAGGATAGGATAACCATAATAAACACTATTTGGATTAAAAAACATAAATACATAAAAGAATGGATAAAAAGATATAGCAGTAAAAAAGAAAAGCCTAGCACAAACCTTTAATTTCAGTGGCTTGGGAGGCTGAGGCAGGAGGATAATGAGTTCAAAGCCAGCCTCATGAACAGCATTGATGAGGCCCTAAGCAACTCAGTGAGACCCTGTCTCTGAATAAAGTACAAAATAGGGTTGGGGATGTGGCTCAGTGGTTGAGATCCCTGAGTTCAATCCCTGATACTTCCAACCCCAAAGATATAGCTGTAAAAATAGAGAGCTGTATTTGCTATATTAATATCAGAAATATTTGCAAATATCAGGAAGACAACAATTATAAATATATGGATATAACAACTGAATTTCAAAATATATGAAGCAAAAATGAACAGAACTGAAAGGAGAAATTTAATAATGGTTGGAGACAACAAAAACCCTCTTTCCCCTTGCCTCTCCTTTCATTTCCTCCTTTTTTAGACGGGGTCTTACTCTATAGCTCAGGGTGGCCTTAAACTCTTCCTGCCTCAGCCTCTTAAGTAGATGGCAAGGGCCACTACACCAAGCTTTATAATCTACTTCAGTGATCAACACAATAATAATCCAAAGCCATCTTAAAGCCAAAGTTTTGGTGAATCAGAAAACAGATTAAAAATAAGTCATGTGGGTGGGTTGGGGGTGTGACTCAGTGGTAGAGCACTTAACTAGCATGCATAGGTCCTGGGTTCAATCTCCAGCACTGCAAAAAGAAATGGAGGTGGGTGGAGGGAAAGGGAGAGAGGAAAACGAGAAGGGAAAGGAAGAGAGAGGAGGAGAGGGGAGGGTAGTGGTGGGAGAGGAGGCAAGGGAAAAAGCAAAAGCCTGGCCAACATATGGAGGGAGGGAGGGAGGAAGGAAGGAAAGAAGGAAGCAAGGAAAGAGAAATATAAAAAGTCAGAAAGAAAGTGATGAGAGAGAAAGAAAGAAATACAGACAGACAGAAGGATAGCCAGCCAGCCAGCCAGCCATCTGGGGACAAAAAAGAATAAAATGAAGTAGAGCTATTAATGGAATAGCATCAGACTGAAGGTCATCATACATCTGCTATTAAATCCCCAAAGCTACTTTCAATCTAAGTCTACCTTTATGAGGACAATACAAAAACAGTTCCAGGGCTGGAAGTATAGATCAGTGGTAGAGTACTTGCCTAGCAAGCATAATGCTCTGGATTCAATCCCCAGAACCAAAGAAAAAAAGAAGTCTAGTTCCCATTCTTGAATTCTGTATTAGCTGTTTGTTGTTGCTATAACTAATTACCAAAAATTTAGTGGCTTAAAACAACATAAATTTATTATCTTAAAGTTCTATACATTAAAAGTCTAGCATGGGGGCTGGGGTTGTGGCTAAGAGGTAGAGCACTTGCCTAGCATGCATGAGGCACTAGGTTTGATCCTCAGCACCACATAAAAAAAAATAAAGATATTGTGTTCACCTATAACTAAAAAATAAATATTTAAAAAAAGTCTAACATGGGTCTCAGGTCATAAAATGTGGGTGATGGCAGGGCTGCACTCTTTTGGGAGGCAGCAGGAGAAATCTGTTTCCTAGATTTTCTAGCTTCTAAAAGCTGCCTGGTCTGGGCATGATGGTGCATGCCTGTAATCCCAGCAGCTTGGGAGGCTGAGGCAGTAGGATCATGAGTTCAAAGCCAGCTTCAGCAATTTAGCGAGACACTAAGCAACTCAGTGAGACCCTGTCTGTAAATAAAATACAAAATAGGGCTGGGGATGTGGCTCATGGGCCAACTGCCCCTGAGTTCAATACTAGGTACAAAAAAAAAAAAAAAAACAAAAAAACACCAAAAAAAAAAAACCTGCCTGTATTTCTTGGTTTGTGGCCTTCTTCCTTCGTCTTTAAAGACAGCAGTGTTACATCTCTCTAATACTGCTTCCCTTATCATATATTTTCTCTGGTCTCCTTTTCTGTCTCCTTTTCCACTTTGTTATTGTTGTTCAGTGCTGGGAATGGAACCAAGGTCTCATGCATGCTAGGAAAGTACTCTCCCACTGAGCCACATCCCCAGCCCTCCCTCTTCCTTTTTTTAAGGACTCTGTTCTTACACTGGATGCACAATGATCTCCCTATCTTAAAGTCACCTGATTAACAACTTTCATTCTTAATTTTCCTTTGTTATATAATCAAATCCAGTCATATGTTTTAGGTCTCTGAATATGGACATCTCTAAATGACCATTATTCTTCCCACTGCAAATTCTATTGAGATTTTGCACATGTCTATGTCTTTACAATATACTCTTCAAGCTCAACTTTGACTTGGTACATGTACCCAAGAAGCCTGATCTGATTAGTACTTCTTTAATAGTTGTCAGTGACCCTCTTTTTTCCAAACTGAATATATGTATTTTACTAATATTCTTATGAATAATAAAGATCTCTTACTTCAGATAAAGTATGAGACTATTTTAAAGGTTATCTTTGTGATCAATGAACTCACCAAGAAACTCTAAATGCAAGACCAGTGTTTCTCATTGACTGATAACATTTCAAGGAAAATTCTGGAAAACAATATTGGGTTTCTAGCTGTTTGTTTTCTGAATGAAAACATGAAACAAACTCAGCAGTTCTCAACATCTGTCAATTATCCTCATCATTCCTACACAAAAGAACATTTAACATAAAAAATAGAGTAAAGAATTTTGGAATAATTTGCACTTATTTAAATAATTTTATCTTAATAAAAACCAAACTAAAATTTCATTCCTTCCTATTTTTGCTTAACTTTTGACCAGGTTTTTTTAAACATTTACTTTCATGATTGATTTACCTGTTGCAACCAAGGAATTGTCTGCGTGTGTCAAGGATTGGGGGCGGCTTCGAAGTTTACTTTTGAAAGATCTTGGTCGACGTGGTGATGCAGGTGGCAAAGGAATCTCTGAAGATTGTGCTTTGTTATCTTTAATTGACCGAAGACGTTCATAGAGCTCCTGAAGCTCTTTATTCTGCTGGGTTTGAAGATTTACCACCTCCTGAATGTGTCTGAATGCAAACCATGCAGAAAGTAATTTAATGATTTTATACTAATAAAAGTAAAGGTTAACAAAATTTTAGATTAAGAATGGCAAAATATAGAGTATTTTCACTATTTTAGAATGGGAACTGCTTTCTGAAGCATAACCTTAAACTAATTAGTCCTAAAGAAAAAGATGAACAAATTGACAAGAACAAATGTCTAAAATTTCAATATAGATAAAACAAAATTTAAATGTTAACAGTTTGATAACATCAACCTTTTCATTATTAAATGCTGAAAGTATAAATAGGAAGAAAATATTTATAATGTTAAAAGAAGAGTTAATATTCAGAATTTATAAATAGATCCTAAACATCAGTAAGAAAAAAAAATTGATAGAAAAATGGGCAAAGAATATGAAAAGGTGATTCCAATGAAGAGGAAATACAAATAACAATAAGTATGAGATTATGTTCAAACTTGCTATTAATCAAGGGCACAAAATATAACTGGGGGAAAAAACATACATAGTTTGGGAGGCAGGGTCTATAAAGCCCAGAATGGCTTTGAAATTATAATCCTTCAGCCTCAGCCTCACAAAGGCCTGGGATTATAGGCACATGACACCACACCCAGCTAATAAAATATTGTTAATTCATCTGAATATGAGTTTAAAAATTCGTAATATCCAGTCTACAGTTGTTAAGATGTGGGTAAACAGATACTTTCAGATATTTTTTTTGAGTACAAAATGGTATAGCTATATTGGAACACAGTTTTAACACTATCACTTTAAAATTTATAACTTTTTAATTTAGCAATTACATTTTTAGCTTATAATGACATTTATGCTAAATATGAAAATAGTTTATTAGCTGTGTTTTGTTTTTAAACAAGGAAGAAGCAGGTGTGACCTAAAGCCTTGTCCACAGGCCTGCCTGGCCAATGGGAGGTGATGTGTTTGCAGTCCTGATTTAGTGTCTTTCCACGTGGTGTCCCTGCACCCCACTCTTGTCTCGCCTGCCTCCATCCTCACTGCTCCTTAGGGCTTCCTATGTACCCCACACTCTCCTGTATCCTGCCTTCACAGAGCTCCTCCTCCTGGAACATTTTCCCTCTGCTTGAAGCCCATTCCAGGTACTGTCTGTGGCTTGGCCTCCAAGAGCTGGGAGTCATAGAAGTGCTCAGGGTTGTGCCATTCAGATGAACAGCAGCCGTGGACCGAGTTTGATTGAAGGGAGGCAATGGGTGATGAATGTAGCCTGTGGGGGCATTTGCTAGATCCCTACCAATGCTACCTGGAATGAGGGCCACTTTCAGGGGTGCCACCTCACTACAATGAGGGCATTCTGGCCTGTAAGGACCAGTAGCTCTGCTGGCTTCCCAGTTGAAACTCCTCAGTGGCATCATGAAGCAGTGGTGGAGTAAATTTCAGGAGCTTCTGAGGGAGAGTCCAGGGCCCCAATGTCACCTGGAGCAGGTGAGGGACTGTGGAGTTGCTGACATGTGTGGGGTGTGCGTGGCTCTGACCTGTTCAGCTGCACCTTGGGGTCTTCACTGCATGTTTCCCCAGATTCATGCTCTCCAGAACCTCGGGATGCGCCTTATTTGGATATCGATGTGCAGAGCAGAGGTGAGATCTGCGGGTCAGGTGGGCCTAAGCCAATGGCCAGTGTCCTCATAAGATGGTGATGTGAGGATAGAGACCCACAGGAAAGGCCATGTGCTGATGGAGGGACAGTGGCCTGGCCTGGCTGCAAGCCAAGGGACACCAAGGACTGCCTACATATCTATCATAAAAATAATTGTATAGCTATGTAAAAAATACAAAATATATTTATTTCAGCATTGCTTATATAAGTAGAACTTAAGGCAGACTCAGTGATGCATATTGTTCATCAGAAGCACTTTGGGAGACTGAGGCAGGAAGATTCAAGTTCAAGGCCAGCCTTAGCAACTTAGTGAGACCCTGTCTCAAAAAAAAAAAAAATAAAAAAGGACTAGAGATGTAGCCCAGTTTTTTAAATTATTAAAAAACAAAACAGGGGCTGGGGATGTGGCTCAAGCGGTAGCGCGCTCGCCTGGCATGCGTGCGGCCCGGGTTCGATCCTCAGCACCACATACAAACAAAGAGGTTGTGTCCACCGATAACTAAAACAAAACAAAACAAAACAAAACAGACTTCAGATAACACTGAAATAGTGCAAAGGAGGGATTAAAAAATATATACCCATATATTATACCCATGTATTATAATAGGATACAACAACTTTTTAAAAATAATTAGATATGATGCAGATATGAATATCTACAGGCAACAATGTTAATTCAAAAATTGTGAAATAATGTGTATGTTATGATCCCACTTCTGTAAAAAACAAAACCTATATCTGTAAATCCACAGAAAAAGAACCAAAAGATATACTAAATAATTCACAGTAGTTGTCTTTGAGAAATGAGACTGTGACATGAGAAATGGAAAACTGTTTTTTTTAACTGTTGTTTGAAAATGTTTCCATTTATCACTGTTAATGCATAAAACCCATAACGATAGTTTATTTAAAATAATTTCAATCTAAAAACTAAGCTTACCATTGTGGGCCTAGAGGATAATATACCTTGGAGACAACATCCTGGGGTCTAAAATATTTGTGAACAAATGTAATGCCAAAAGCATATTGAAGAAAAAGTAGAAAATATATTATGTCTTAAGGTCCCTTCCAGGTCTTGGGTTCTATAAGGTTAGGAGAACCCATGTCTCATACTAAACTAATGTACTCATAAGGGGCTGAGGTGTGGTAGAGTGCTTACCCAGTACATGTAAGCACCACATAAAAATAAATAAATTAAATAAAGGTATTGTGTCCACCTACAATTAAAAAAATACTTAAACAAAACAAAAAACTCCCAGCAATACAGTACTGATATCACAAGTATTAAACCACTTTAAAAAGAACTATTTTATTCTAAAAGTATAGGTGTACATGTACTGCATAATACTTATTGTATAGTAAAGTTGATATATACATAATGTGTAGTAAAGTCAAACCTATGTAAGTATATTTTGTGTGCGTGTGGTAGTAGGGAGTAAATGTAAGGCTTCATACATCCTAGGCAAGTACTCTACGACTGAGCTACATCCTTAGCCTTTTATTTTGAGATAGGGTTTCACTAAGTTGTTCATGCTGGTCTTATCATCCTGCTGCCTGAAACTACCAAGTCACCAGCATTATAGGTATGCACCACTGAGCCTGGCTCTGTATATCTCTGTATATATAGTTTAAAAATAGAACAACAATCTTCCATTGATGAATGTTTAAAACATTCTCAAATTCCTTCTAGGCTCCAGTCAAAAACAAAACACAACACAACCACAGAAATTAGTTGAACAGAAAATGGTATTATAATTATCTCATTGACATGTGGAATTTGAGGTTTGGGTTTTTTTTTTCTTTTGGGCAAGGGCTTAAAAACTGGGAAAATTCCAAGGATTGTAACCAGCTTTAGTTCTGAAAGCACTAAAACACAGTACTCAATTGAACCATTAATCAAATATGTAAGAATCTGGCTAAAATCTAAGTTTTTTCAATACCTTGATTTTTCTCTCCTCTCTGATTCTCTCTGCTTTCAAGTTTTATGTCCCATAACAGAATAGAAATTCACTAAAGCAAAAGATACACTAAAGATTGCTTGTTAACGGGGTATGCTAGTGTAGGCCTATAATCCTAGCAACTCAGGAAGCTGAGGCAGGAGGATCCCAAATTTGAGGCTAACCTGGGCAACTTATCAAGACCCTGTCTCAAAATAAAAAATAAAAGTACTGGGGATAGAGCTCAATGATACAGAGCTATGGGTTCAATCCCAGTACTGCCCATCACCCAAATTGTTTTCAATTTTTCAAAGTAATGGCATCAAGCCATCAATAAGAGGCAAGTAATTAATTTGAGAATGTAATATAGTGGGTTACTATGGAACTGAAAAAATTTAATAATGCAGAAATAGTTCTAAAACACAGTGAAATGGTGAAAAAGCAAGATAAAATAGTTTGTATTATAATTTACTCTTTTGGGGAAAATGAAGAACAAAATATGTATACATTTGTTTGTGCATCCATAGACAAACTCTAGATATACCAGAAACAGGTAATATTTGTTTCCTCTAAGGAGAAAAATTGGGTAGTTTGGGTACAGTGGTAGGAGGGAGACCCAACTGATTAAACCTTTTGAATTTTGAAACATGTGAACAGAGTAAGAATATGGCAACTTTATATTAATTTTTGAAAATATATAACCTAGTTTATAACTCTAAATGCAAAACATTGACAAAACATTATCACAATATCATTAGTGAAGGTTGATAACCTCATTTACCAAATAACAAACTTGACCTTACTTACCAAATATGTAATTATACAAGAATAATTATAAAATCTTAATCCAATAGTCCTGATGGATAAGGATTTAGAAAGTAAGCAAAAAGAATAAACAGCTAATTAAAATTAGTCTCCAAACTATGAAAATATTTTGTATGCAAGCATTTTAACATTCATAAAGGTCTTACATTATCATTCTTTGTAGTTTTTAATCATAAAAAGATTACAATCATTAAAATGTCACCAATACTAAATTAGCCACAAATCAGATTTTAAGCTCTATAAAACCCAAGACAATCGGATTTGTGACAGAACAGAGTCCTTACTTTTCTCGTAATCTTTGAAGTTCCACTTTCAAGTCTTCATCCTCTATTTCTGACTCATCATCACTGCTCATTGGGGAAGATGGAGAATAGAAGAGTGAACTCTGCGTTTGAGCATAGGCTTGTTCTTCATGAAGGGGTAAGCCCTGATCACTTTCTGGACCAGTTTTTGCCACTGTCTTCCCATTATCAGCAAGAGTGGCTGAAAATTCACTAGCAGAACTAGGCTGTTTCTCAGCAGGCAGTATCTCTCTCTGTTTAAGCAACAGTTCAGATCCAGATTGCATGCTACTTCCCGTGGCTGAAGTTTCTTCTAATTCTTTTTCTGGGGTCACTGAAGATACATCAGTCTCACAAGCTGTGCTGAAAGACAGGAAGTTGTCTAATTGTTTGGAAATCCCTTTATCTTCTTTAAAGGTTTCATGAAGAGTTTGTAACTTCTGAGAAGAGACTGAAGTCTGAGGATTGTGCACGGCAGGTTCCACTTCTACTAACTGAGACTTTGCAGTTTCACTAAAGGCCAGAGCTTCTTCACTGGACTGATTCGATATTTCCTTGAATGCGGATCTGTGTTCTATTCCAAAAGATGTCACTTTCAATGATTGCTGCTGAGGAACCGTAATCACCTGAGATATAAAAAGGTATAAGTGTCTAGCTCCACCTAAGTAAAGGGTAACTACATGAAAAAAATTCATCAATACACAGCATAGACAAAATGCTACAATGCACTTGTATTGCTATTACCAAAATCTGAAAGTCCCTCTCTATTCCCCATATCATCTTTTAATTGGACACCTTGTGTAAAGACAGTTGATTTCATATTATTCAAATAAAATTCCACAATTAAAACTGCTGAGATTCTAAAGGGCATGAGATTAAATTCATAAAATAGATGACACAACCGCCCACCAAAACCGATGACTGATTTCTATGATCCAGTCCAATTACTAAAATCCCCACTTCATTAGACTCACCTTTACTGATGGCTTCAAAAGGTGAGAGGATATGTGTAACATGACCAAAAAAGTATGATCTAAAGACCAATCTGCAAATGTTGTTTTTGTTTTCTGCAGTGCTGGAGATCAAATCCAGGGTCTCACTTATTTGAGGCAAGTGCTCTATCACTGAGCTACCTATATTCACAGCCCTGCTGTTACCTTTCATAAGGCCTTTGTAGATTAAGGATTCAACCAAAGACACAAACCTGAAACCGACCCCGCTGAAATGATCCACGCATCGTTTTACATCTACTCAAAGCCCTAGTATCAGCCGTGGACTCCCGTGTCAGTGGAATGGGATCAGGAGCAATTGCTGATCTTATATCTTCTGTTTCCACTGTAAGTTTTGTCAAATTGTAAGCAGAAAAGAGAAAATTGTTAAGACTAAATTTGTTTACATTATCAAAAAATGAAGAAAAGCAGAAAAAGTTTAACTCCTGCTAGACAATTAAAAGGTGTTAATGTAATAAGCAAAATTGTATAAGTCCCTAACTCTAATCATACATTGCAAGATTTATCCCAAGACTTAGTATCTATATGAAATGAATAACCAGAAAACCAAATTAATTACTAAAGGAAAAAATAAAATGGCAATGACATTAATGGAACATGTCACATACATGGGCTATGTGGAAAAAGTGACAAGATTTGTGTATGAACAACCAAAAAAAAAAAAAACATAAGTAAATGAAAAGTGATGTTACCTAGTCTATGTCCCTGACTGTAAGCACACTACCTTGATGGACTTTTGATCTCTTGAAAAAGCTGGTTGACTGCCGTAGCCTGTATGCCCAGCTTTTTAATTTGCGAGTCCAGGATTTCTTGCTAATAGGATTTTTGAGACTAGGACAAGTAAAGCTTAGGCCAAAATATCCACCTCCTGTCTGCAGATGAATGGCTCCACCGCTTGACACAGCAGCAGGATAGGCCTCTGGATCCCCTGGAAGTGAAGCATCTGGGGACATCTCCTAATGGAGACAAAAAATAAGAAAACACAAAGTAGCAGTAATTTAGTTAAGTTGGAGAATTTTTTTTTTTTTGCCTAGTGCAATTTCTTATGTGAACTAATTGTTAATCATAAATAGGATACTTCCCAGTTACGCAGGAGACTAAAACAGGAAGACTGCAAATTTGAGGTCAGTCTCAACAACTTAGTGAGACCCTATCTCAAAATACAAAAAAAAAAAAAAAGAAAGAAAGAGGTGCTGGGAATGTAGATCAGTAGCAAAGTGCCCCTGGGTTCACTTCCCTGTAATGGAAAAAAAAATAGGATACTGTATATAATTATATTATAGTACTATATCAGACTGAACCTGAAGTACTCAATTTATAGAAATTAATCCTTTCATTTCTTTCTCCATTTTTTGAGGTATTGGGGATGGTACTCAGGGCCTTGTGCATACTAGGCAATCATAATACTACTAAGCTGCATTCCCAGTTGCCACCATTTCTTTGAAAACATCATTTAAACTTCAGATGAATATAAGAGAAGACTATTAATCTTCCACAGAATATTTTTCATCATTATGTCACCTTTGAAAACTGAAAATTAAATTATTTCCTTTGTATGTACCAATTTACTAAAAAGATTACTGAAATCCCATGCAATTAAAATGAAATGTTCATTTGTTATCATATTATTTAAGAGTTAAAAATACCTGACATATGGGCTGGGGTTGTGATTCAGTGGTGGAGTGCTTCCCTAGCATTTGTGAGACACTGGGTTTGATTCTCAGCACCAAATAAATAAATTAAATAAAGGTCCATTGACAACTAAAAATATATTTTAAAAAATACCTGACATATAACAGAAAAACAAAATATCTAAGGCACTTAGAGTAACAGAGAAATATCAATGAATCAAGCTTTTTACTTTATGTAAGCACACAGAAATTTACAAAGAAACACAAAATTACTTTAAATTCATCCTCTAAAAATTGTTGTTAACATTAGGCCATGCTAGCTATGAAAATCACTCTTCCTGTCTTCCTACATACTGCCCCCTAAAACCAGAATTAACTGTTGTATCCAATTATCTTAAAAATATATTTCCTATAATAATTAATACAAAATTAATAGACACAACAACAAATACTTTGGGAAACATAAGAATGGTCACTATAAATCTAGAGGATTAAAGGCAAACATAAAAGCACAAAGAATGGGCAGGGCACAGTGGCACACACCTGTAATCCCAGTGACTCAGGAGACTGAGATAGGAGAATCACAAATTCAAGGCCAGCCCCAAGAAATTAGTGAGACCCTATTCCAAAATTAAAAATACAAAAGGCTGGGGATGTAGCTCTGTGATAGAGTACTTCTGAGTGGGTTCAATTTCCAGTACCATAAAACAAAACAAACAAATAAAAAAAATGGGATTTAGCATTTGTCTGCAGGAAGATGTTCTATATGACAGTAAGCATACTGTCTTAGATAAGCATTATTTGACTTAGGGCAGATTATAATGAATTCTGAACAATCAGCTTTTATTGTCCAAAGTCCCAGTTTGGAATGGTAATAATGTTACTTCAATGAGGAAGTGAAATAACTCTCAATATTACAATTTAGACATGTTGCATTGATTCCACTGAAATTACAGTTTTTTAATGTATAGAAACTGGAACAAGATGGCATATTTAATATATGTTCTGGCCTCCCATATCAATCCAAATACCTAGATAAAACAGGAAAAATAGATATAGACACAAACATATATGACTGAAGGAAGAAAAAACAGATCATGTCCTATGTAGGAACTGTTTCAAAATGCTGCAAACTCCAGTGACATATATGAGCCGCAAGAATGAGCTGTGGTTCACCAAAAGGATGAGTGCTTGGCTAAAATGCTTATAAAACTCTACACAATCTATCACCTATTTGTCTCATCAAAATTATCTCTCAACATCCTTCTACTTAAGTGGCCTTCTTTTGCTTGAACAAATATCTATCTGTTAATGTCATTACTATATACAAGTATTTCCCTGGCCACTCTGTGTAGAGTAATCCTCTAAGCTATCACTACCCTTTTTTATAAAAATTTTATTTGTCTATGGGCTGTTTCCCCCACTAGAATGTGAACTCCACAAAAATAGAGGTTTTTATTTATTCGCTGCTCAAAAGATACTCACTGTATTGAAGAGTGCATTTGTTGGGATACCAAAGAGGAACAGACACTCAGCTCTGCCCCTTCCCTTCCCATCTCGACAACAAACAAAAGACAGCAGAACATCTACCCTTCAAATAAGAGTAGAAAATGGAAATGGTATGTGGCCAAGAGAAAGGTCAAAAGGAGATAATATTTTGGAGGAGGGTAAACTCTCCTGCCTTCAGAGAGTAGCTACTGGGCTATCCTCCAGGTAGCATTAGAGTCAAGTGATAATATCCAATGCCAGAAGGGACATCCCATGTTTTTTCTCCAATTATTGGAGGAAGGCTAGCATTTGGTAATTATACATAGCGTTTATAGACAGATGAATAAGGAATCTTGCGAGAGAAAAAGAAAAAAATGCACACATACTAAGAATCACCACTATGGAAATCCAACACTATAAGAAATACTAAATTGAAATAGAGGAAAAGCCAAGGAATTAATAACATTGGGTAAAACCTTCATATTGTCAGAGAGATGTGTGAATATATAGTCATGAACTATACAACATTTAGGTCAAGAATGGATAACATATATGACAGTGGTCCTGTATAATGGAGATACTCTGGAAGCTGACGCAGGAGGACTACGAGTTCAAGGCCAGCCAGAGAAAGTTATTGAGACCCGGTCTCAAAACAAACGAAAAACAATTTATGTTGAAAATTCATTCCCATTGTGTCATATGTGGAGGTAGAAAAATGTAGGGCTTTTAACATGTGATTGAATCATGAGGGGTCCACCCTCTTAGATGGATTAGTCTATTCATAGATTAATGGATTTGAGAATTGATGGGTTATGTGAAAGATGCTTCATTATAAAAGCAAGTTCTCTCTGGCTTGCTCTGCCTCACCATGTGATGCTATCTGCCATATCATGAATCAGCAGAAAGGTTCTGACCAAATGCTAAGCATTATATAGATATCTGTATTTCCACTTCTGTGAGACATATGTCTATATGATTTGACTATTCTTTTACTGAGTGGTCTGATCTTTTCTTTCTGATTTGTAAACATGATTTATATATTCAACTATTAATCTTTATTACATTTTCTAAGGAAAAAAAAAAACTTGGCTGAGTGGTGGTGTATCCCTGTAATCTCAGCAGCTCTGGAGACTGAGGGAGGAGGATTAAGAGTTCAAAGCCATTCTCAGCAATGGTGAGATGCTAAGCAACTTGTGAGACCCTGTCTCTAAATAAAAATACAAAATAGGGCTGGGGATGGTACTCAATAGTTGAGTGCCCTTGAGTTCAATCCCCAGTACCCACCTCCCCCCAAAAAATTTTTTTTAAATTTTGGGAAAAAATATGTGCAAAAATAGACTGCTGTGGAAAAGAAGCCAAGAATAAGAGTGATTTCAAAACTCAGATTCATGATTGTCAAATGAAAAATTAACTGGAAAAGGCTAAGTAGCAGGATAGTAACCTGACATACTTTTGAAAATGAAGTTATGCCTGAGAACATAAATTAAAAATGAGAACACACTGTTAAGATATATGGAGGATATATCCAGGAGACTGGATATCTATAACACTTCTAAATTGAAGCCAGAAAGACAACGGAAGGAAAAATAAGACAATAATAAAGTTTACTAGAAATAAAAAAGACACTAATCTTCAAAATCAAAAGGCCATCAAAGTTATGTTCACAATGAATAGAAAAAAATAGTTTCATATCCTGTGTTTTATAAGTCACTAACCACATGTAGGTGTTCAAATTTAATTTAAATTAAATTAAAACTTTAAGCCCTAAGTTACACTAGTAACATTTTATGTGCTGAATAGTCATGTGTGGTTTAGTGATTATCATATTGGACCGCATAGATACAGAACATTTCCACATTGTGGAAAGTGGTCTAGAATAAAAACAAGCCACCTACAAATGAATGATAATCAAATTAACATCATTTTCATCAGCAACACAGGAGGCTAAAAGACAGTAAAACAATGTCTTCTAAGTTCTGAGAAGAAAAGATTTTGATCCTACTGTTCACTCTTAATCAAGTGTGAAGCAAAATTAAGATATGTTAGGACATGCAAAAACAACAGCAAAGACAAATTAGATAACCATGTAACATATCTGAAAACATTACTCACAGAAGTATTTCAGGGGAAAAAAGAATAATTTGAGGACAACAGAAACAGTGACAACTAAATATGATTCAGATATAGCAATGGACACTGAAACAAATAAAATAATCCATTTGACCTTGATGCTTAAAATAATCTCCTCTGAGCAACAAAATTTAAATGATAGAGAAAAACATTTCATTTCTTATGGTTCTAGTCACTTGTTGTTATTGTATCACGCACATGATCATAATATAAATGCATATTTATTGATTTTCAGTTTTTTGGTACTGGGGTTGAATCCAGGGGTGCTCTACCACTGAGCTATATCCCTATTCCTTTTTATTTTTATCTGATTATATAGTCTCACTAAGTTGATGAGGATGACCTCGAACTTGCAGTCCTCCTCAGCTTTAGCCTCCTGAGGAGCTGGGATTACAGGCATGTACCATGGTAACTGGCTTTGGTTTTTATTCATAGAGTCAAACCCTCACTCTCTGTAGCAGCAAGTAGATGGGTATTATCTAAAATTACCAAATCAAGAAATATATACCATACATACACACACACAAAAACAATTTACAAGTTACTAATGGTGATGACCACAGAATTAGAATTGGGAACATCAAAGGGTTCTCAGGGAATAAGAGGTAGCAATACAATAGTTAACTATCTATTTGAATGTAGTGCTGTGGATCAAACACAGGGTTTCATATACACTAAGCAAGAACGCTACATCCCCAGCCAACAGTTACTTTAAATCTATAATCTTTATGAATGACTTTTGTGTTTACTTGTTACCTTTTAAATTTAAAATCACTAGTTTATCAATAAAACTAATTATATCTATTCAATAATTTATTATGCAGTTCCTTTTAATAGTTAAAAGGTAGAACTATATGTAATGACACTGATGCATGTCCATAATTAAAGATAATGCAGAGCAACATATGTGAAGTATTTGTACATAAACATTTAAAATAAGTTGTAGAGCATGATATATTTCTGAAGAAAATATTATGATATATATGTAAACATATTTGTGTAAACTTAAGAAAAGTCAATAAGGATAAGCACCAAATTACCTCTGTGATTTGAAGAGCTAGGGAAGGGAAACTAGGGCTGGGGGTATGGCTCAATGGTAGAGTGCTTGCCTTAGGTACAATCACAAGTAACACAAAATAATATAAAATTGAAATAAGGAAAGAAAAAAAGGAAAATTAGTGTTCCTACATTACATAGGTGAGTACCCCTAATTTGTAAATCTAAAATTCAAAATGCTCAAAAAAAGTCTTAAACTTTCTGAGCCCCAGCATGATATCACAAGTAGAAAATTTCACATATGATTTTATATAATGTGGCTCAATCCATGTTTTTTTACACTACATACTGGAAAAAATTGTCTGTGGGCTCTGTGTATATAGTATACATGAAACATATATGAATTCTGTGTTTAGATTTGGGTCTCACCCACAAGATATCTCATTAAACAAATATTCTAAAATCTAAAAAACTCCAAAATCTGAAACACTTTTTTAAACCAAGGCCTTTTGGATACAGGATACTCAACCTGTATGTATGTGTTTATATATACTTTAAGTATAGGCCTGGCATGGTGGTACAAACCTATAATTTCAGTAAGTTAGGAGGCTGAAGGAGGATCACAAGTTCAAGGCCAGCCTCAGCAACTCAGGGAGACCCTGTCCCAAAATGAAAACAAATAAAAATGGCTGGGGATATAGCTCAGTGGTAGAATACCCCTGGGTTTAGTCTCTAGTACCCACCCCCCCAAAAAAAGTCATGGGACTATGGATGACTTTTACTTTTTTTCAAATAAATTAAACCTATCAAATCACGTTTAAATTAAACTATGAAGAAGAAATCAAAAAGTAAGTTCTTTCTATTAGAATCTTCTATAAATCAGGGTTTTTTTCCCCCCTATCATTAAAACAAATATAGACACTGCTTGCAAGTTCCTAGTTACTTCACTAGAGGGCTCTCTTACCCATAGTCTACCAGGTCTACTGAGAATTTCTGAGCACCTGTAGCATAGGTCATGGCATCCTTAAATACCTGTGTCCTTAAAATCTCATTTCAAAACACAGAATTTTAGAAGAGAAGGCATTTCTTTAAAATCATAAGGAAACAAAAAGACTGATACTTACATGTAAACACAATTCGCTGGGTACAGAAGTTATCACATTCAGGTCCCTTTTGAACACTGATATGTTAGCAGGCTGACTTGCAGCCACATTGGACAGAATCTTAGAGCCCATATGTTGGAAATTAGGGGATTGTGCAGGGCTATCTTGAATTCCACAGTGACTGATGGCTATGACTTCTGGCATTGGACAGGAGAGTGTATCTTCAGCAGAGGAAGAAAAAGGAGAGTCTATGCTTTGGGTGTCCTTCTGGCTCTCAGGATAGATGCTAGAGATGCTGTGTTCCTGATAGAGCAAGTTTCTTAATTTTTCATCCAGAGTTTTAATTCGGTTGTCTGCAAACTCCATTTTTGGAGGTCTTTCCCCATCTGATTCTAGGACAGTAGTGGGTAAAAGGGTAGTAGATTCAAGGCCAGGAGTCTGAGTGGAAACGACTTCTTTTGGAGAATTTGCTTCAGTGTTCACTATGTTTTCTCCTTCTTGGGAAATAAACTCTGCATCCATAGTTGGCTGCTGTCCTGGTAAGAACTGAGGTTTTTGATCAGATACAAATGTTGAGGTTGTAACAACATTACCAGCAATCTGAGCTGATTTGCCACCATGAGCTACAAGCACATCAGCCTGACTGGCAGGTGGGTGACATGAATATACAGGTATGAACATGCCTGTTTGGCCAGTGAGTCCCTCACATTCAATTGGAACTGAAGTAGTGGAATAAGTGGAACTACTGGTAACTGGTGTCATTATCTGCCTGTTATCTTCCACTTGAAAAAGTATAGCTGGCTGTTCACTTTTTACACCAGCACATTCAGAAATCTTACCATCAACTACATCCTTGTTTTCTGATTTGGAGGTAAAAAGTGCATGTTGGCATGGATTATTTTCTATACTGAGCAGTGTATCCTGTGATATTTCCTTATTATTTTTACTTCGTGAACCTGGAACAATAACAAAGTAACAGTTAATTACATGCTGATGAATGCAAAGCATAGACTAATACAAAAGTTCAAAAGTGACAGGAAAAGCAAGGGACAAATGAGAACTGATATGAGAGAGAATATGCTTATAAACAAGACTCAAAATATCAAACAATCCAAGCTGGAATGAAAAAAAAAATTGCTTTTTTATAAATATTAAATAAAAATATTTTAAGTTATACACTGTCTTCAAATATGCTTATGAAAATTATAAAATATTCAAGAAATAAGTTAAAATATGGTATATGTTTTACATTCATATCCTCCAAATCTGGAAAAACCTGGCAGTGAATGAGAGCTTACTAGGAAATGGATGTAGCCCAGTGACTGCAGCCATTGAAGGCTGAAGAGAAGGAGGAGACTGAGCCTCTCGGTTTCTTATTGTCTGATTGATACAGAATCGCCACCGACCAACTGGAGATGACTGAGGAGCAGATTCATCTGTAGAAATAATTAGCAAGAAATCAATGTGCCAAGTAAATGTCAGTTCATTTATCTTATTGACTTAATAAAACTAATTTCAAAAACGAATCTGTCTTGGGGCTGGGGTTATGGTTCAGCAGTAGAGTGCCCACGTGCGAGGCACTGGGTTTGATCCTCAGTACCACATAAAAATAAATAAACAAAACAAACAAATGAATAAATAAAGGTATTGTGTCCAACTACAACTAAAATAAAAATATATTTCTTTAAAAATTATCTGTCTTATACATATATTCCTAATAGTAATAGGATAAGTATAATAGTAGTGCTTATCATAGCTGTATAAGTGTGTCATTAGTGGAATAAAATCAAGATAAAATATGACTATTAAAACATGAGGCAAACTTAGAATACAATGATTTTAGTTAAGAAACTTTCTGTCCATCTTATATCTGAAAAATCAATTGACCAGTTTTGTTTCAAACAGGCCATTAAAAGTCATCATACTGTGACTGCTTTTCTGGTAACATACCATGTGACAACTCAGAAATAAATTAATCAGATAAAGAACCAAAACTTGGAGGAAATTTGGTGAATGAATTTTTATCTCTGAGATACAAGGTCCTTTCAAAGTGTTAGAAAATAACAATTTATCAAATTACTTTATTGGCTAACATTTTTCTCCAAGAAGGGATATAATTTAAAGTTCCCAAATGTCTTATTTCAAAAGCCAAATGGTAAATGTAATTAAATATACTTACTGCTGGTTTGGGTAGAAGCAGAATTTATCTGGACTTGTTCAGATGATCCTGTCTGAATTAAAAATGAATAGATAAATAAAGAAGTTCCTGACACGTATTCAAAAAGACCCATTTGCTAAACAATCGTTCTTACTTGGTTACTGTTAGATTCCAAGGTAACAGAGTCAAGTCCAATGACTTTTTCTGCAGCAGAGTGGACATGAAGGATCTCCTGGGCTTGACCTACGATAGCCCTCAATTCTTCTACAAATTTTTCCTTCTCATTTTCCAGCACAAAGTTATCTTCAACCTGCCCCACAACAAAAGTCAGTCTATTCATGAGAATGAATTTAGTTTCTTCAAAATTATAATACTGTATTAATGGTGGTTACCATAAAGAAAAACATAAATATAGAGTATCTAAATCCAAGTGTCAAAACAGAATAAAGACCAGCAATAAAACACCACATAATACATTCAATTATTCTTTTTATTTAATTTTTATTTAGTTGTCAGTGGACCTTTATTTATTTACTTATTTATTTTTTATGTGTTTACAACAAAGATGTCCAAAGTAAAAGGTTTTCAATCACAAATCATAAAATTCATCATCTTTGGAGATGTTTCATAACAGCCCAAAGACCTTTAGTTGGGCTAAGTGTACACGGGAATTATGAAAGTATAGTCATCTCAAAAGATACTCTGCTAAGTAAGAGGCATAACTAACAAAATTAACTTTTAAAATGTTTATTTTGCCCGGGTGCAGTGGTGCATGCCTGTAATCCTAGTAGCTCAGGAGGCTGAGGCAGGAGGATTGTGAGTTCAAAGCCAGCCTCAGCAATGGCAAGGCATTAAGCAACTCAGTGAGATCCTGTCTCTAAATAAAACATTTTTAAAAAGGGCTAGGGATGTGACTCAGGGGTTAAGTACCCCAGGTTCAATCTCTGATAACACCCCCCCCCCAAAATTTATTTCCACTTCACCAGAAAAGCAGAAACAAATGCATTATGCACTCTCTTACTACCCAGATCCCATACCTATCCAATAAAGGGGAAAAATACTAACTTAAGCCTACTAATTCAAAGAAAATATTAAAAAAAATTAAATGAAATGAAGAAAATAACTTGAACATTTACATGGAAGATGTTAGATGAGTAGTTTGCACATTAGAAATTACCTTGGTAACTTGACAAACTATTGATGTTTAGGCCTCAACTTCAAAGATTCTGATTTAATCAGTAACCCACACAATGGAATTATTTTTACAAAGTTTATTAGATTATCTCAACATACAGGCAAAGGGAAAAAATATTGATCCACAATAAAACTCTTTCATATTTTTCAAATGAATATGCTGAAACTAAATAAGATGCAGCAGCTTATCCCTGATCAGAACCTCTGTATAAATTTTAAAACTAACCATGCCCTTTAGAGAGATGGCTCCAAATAAATATAGAGAAAATAAGAGACAGATAATGTTGAAGAGAAAATAATTTGTATTTATGATACTTACCATATAGTCTGCAATATCTTCTGGTGCATCACCATCAACATCAAACTTGAAGGTGACCATCTTATTGTTGTGTGTTTCCAGCTGGCACTCTACCATGTTGTCTCCAGAGGTTGACACCTATGAATACATATTTCACCAGTTTAAGATTCACTGTCTTCACTTTGTAAATTGTACACAGACTATCTAGGATGAGTTCACATATAATAAATGCTGAAAATGACTTATACATTAACACTCTAAAAACATTCTGTTTTCCCTTTGTGAAATACTACATAAAGAGCCATCCTATGACAAACATAACAGGTACAAATTACTCAGTAAAATCTTAAATGAGAGTGGGATGCAGTAGTTCACCTCCATAATCCCAGCTACTTGAGAGGTTAAGTTAGCAAGAAGGCAAGTTTGAGGTCAGCCTGAGCAATTTAGCAAGATATTTGAGACAATAGTCTCAAAAAAAGTTTTTACTTGAAAGGGCTAGGATGTAGCTAGGTGGTAGAGCATTTACCTAGTATGTGCAAGGCCCTGGGTTCAATCCCTACAGTTACAATAAATAAATAAATAGAAATGTGATCAAGTAGGAAAGAAAATGGAACAAAACTCTTACAAAAAAGCAAAAAAAAAGGTTATAATAGTCACTATAGCTATATGCAATGCAATATCTAAATCCAGACACTCATTTCCAAAATTCTCTTAATGTAGCAACATGTATTTAGAAATTTTAGAAATGTTTTTATGTGCATATGCTAGAAATTGAACCCAGGGCCTTGCATATGCTAAGCACATGCTCTATCACTGAGCTACACCCTCAAGCCTCAAATTTTCACTTTTTAAACCACTAATCTATTTCTAGGGATCTATTTATTCTAATGAAATAATCGGGGACAGATACAAAGATTTATGTTCTAGGATATTTGCTGCAGAGAATGAAGACAAAGTTAGGGAAAAAGACTGGCAAAAACAGAACAAATTTTTAAAGTACGACAACAAAAGGAATGCTAAAATTATATTTGCATACAAGGGCCTATCTAATGTAGCCATTTAAAATGTTATTGAAAACTTACTTAGTGATATAGGAAAATATACATGATAAGTTAAGTTTTGAAAAAGACAAAATAGTTTGAGGATATAGCTCAGTGGTAGGGTATTGCTAAGCATGCATGAGGCCCCAGGCTTGATCCCCAGTGTTGCCAAAAAAGAGAGGGGATATAAATTTGTATGTAGGCTTCAGCAACCAACTGAAATATATATTGTACTGGTTACAGATACAGACTTTGAAGTCTAATCTGGGTTAAGATCTGACTTTATCACTTGCTAGTTGTATGACCTTAAGCAAATTATCTCTCTTGACATTCTCATTTCTTAAGAGTATATTATCACCTATTATATAGAGTGTTTGCATTACATGAAAAATTTATGCATAAAACTGGGCACAGTGACACAAGCTTATAATCCCAGTGACACAGGAGGCTGACACAGGAAGACTGCAAGTTCAAGACCAGCCTCGGCAATTTAGTGAGGCCCTAAGCAACTTAGTGAGATGCTGTCTCAAAATTATAATAAAATAAAATAAATGTCTGGGGATGTGCCTATGTGGTAAAGTGCCTCTTGGTTCAATCCCAGTACACACAAAAAAATAATACGTAACATTTGGGGTGTCTATCACAAAAGAATTCAATAGTTTTGCTATAATTACTAGTACTATCACAATCTTAATGTAAAATGCTAAATGTACATGTAGAATAAAGAAATGAAAACAAATTAAAAAATGGTAGAAGCTAGCTCTCAGTGGTAGTTATAAGTGATTTATTTTCTGCCTTTTATTCTCCTTTATTCCCCTTTAAAAATTAACACAACATTCCTATCAGAAATTTTTTAATGGAGGAAAAGTCAGCTTACAGAGGGTTTCATAATATTCTATACTTATCACAGTATCATCCCCCCCGACTCTCGAAGACCTCTACATGCACTACAACCAAACCATATCCACACACTGACCTGAAGGACAGTAAGTTGAAATTTAGTCCCCTTCTCTGGTCGGGGACAGGAAGCTCTTCTCTGTTTGATCCGATCCTGTTTGCCATTTCCACCTGGGTTATCAGAGTTATTGGTGTTTTCCTTCACAGCTGCCACATCTTGATTCAAGCTAGTAAAAAAAAAAAAAAAAAAAAAAAAACAGTAACTCATTCCAATCCTGATAATAAAAATCTAACAAAAAAGCTTTTGATTATTTAATTGTAAATAATGTTTAAGGAAAATCAATAAATAATATAATATCTTTTAAAAAGTTATAATTGCTGAATTCTGTGAATATACTAAAAGTTACTGAATCATACACTTTAAAGATAAATTGAATTGTATGCAAATTATATATAAATAAAGCTATCTTTTAAAGTTATGAAAAATGTGATTATATCATATATATTTGGCAAAAATGAAATTAAAGAAAACATTGCCAGTTATAGACCTTTGTGAAACCTTTTAAAAGAGAATGCTCTTGATAAATTTTATCTTGTTTGTTTTGGGGTTACTTCATTAACATGTTCAAATAAAACTTCTAAACTGAAAAATCTCACTCAAAATAAGGGAGAGACCTCAATAAGGATAGACAGACCGAATGTGAGAGACAAAAATAATGCAAGAGGCAGAAAAATAAATGAAAAGGAATCATATAACAATGATGGAACACCTGGAGATGTAGCTCAGAAATAGAGCACGTGCCTAGTATACAGAGGCACTGAGTTCCATCCCCTGAAAAAAAATTCTTCAAGCTAGACATGGTGGCTCATGTCTATAATCCCAAGTACTCAGGAGAATGAGGCAGAAAAATTGTACATTTGAGCTTAGTCTGGGCAATGTAGTGAGATCCTATCTCAAAATAAAACATAGAAAGGGCTAGGAATGCAGCTTAGTGGTAAAGTGCCCCTGTGTTCAATATCAAGTACAATCAATCAATCAATCAATCAATCAATAAAACGGTTCAAAATGATTAACATTTTATAGTTCTTGGGTAGATTTTTTTTTTTTTGACAGACTGCCTCAGTCTCCTGGATTACTGGGAATAGAGGCATGTGCCACTGTACCCAGATCAATATAACTAATTCTAACTGATTATATTTTATAGGTTCAAATCAGAATGGTTATGAAAGGGCAGGTTAACTTAGTTTATCTGTGTGAAATTTTTCAGATTTTTCTTTAATAAAAGTGAAGATATTTGAATACTTGAGTAAATATCTTCCAATATATCTGAAATTCAAATAAAAAGAACAATAAGTATCAGACAACCTTTTTCAGATATTAATTTTTAGATTAAGTCCTTTTGCTAAAAACTATTCATAAAATATTGCTATAGAGATGCACAAAAATGATAAAAATAATTCCTAATTCTTCTATGTCTGTATGAAAAAGAAGACATATTAATACTGTTCCTAAGTTCTTTCAGCATAGCTGAATGTTAGAGAACTTGCCTCACATGCCTGGGTCCCTGGGTTTAATCCCAGCATCACAAAGAAAACATTTTAATTAAAAATAATAATAATGCCCCTAGAGTTCTAAAACATACAGAGAATTGGCAGTAATAAATAATACCTTCATAGGGTAATAGAGACATTAATTTTAGCCAATGGGGCTATATCATTCATATTTCAAAGTAACCTTAAAAAACACTAGCTTAGGGTTTGGGACAACGTAGCAAAAACTCAACTCTGCCTGCTTGTCCCCACTAAGAAGAGCTAAAAAAAATAAAATCTGGAAATAATACAGTAAAAAATCAGGATAGCACTAAAGAATGAAAAGATAAAAGATTGATTAGGAACTGTGAGGACTTAAAAAATAAAGCAACTAACCATCTCCTAATACTAACACAATGGCAGAAGACAAGTCAGGCATAAAGACAGCCCAGACCTAGTGTCTCCTGATACTTAACCCTTCAACAAAAGATGGCTTACGTAGGCCCTTTGCTTCCCCAGTGGCAGTGGCAGGAGCTCCAGCAGTAAAATGTGATCTGTATGGTGGACCTAGAGAAGTTCAAATCTCCATGCTGCAGCTCCACCATGGACACCAAGGTGCCAGGTGAATGAAGCAGACCAGAATAGCAAAGCATGAACTCTCAAAACTACATCGTCACTAGAACCACAGCCCCTAGAATTAGGCCAGGACCAATGTACCTAAACAGGCAGAATGACAGCTAAATAGAGGATTTAAATGTAGAATCCAAAGTATCCTTACATAATACCCAAAATATCCAGGAGACAAAAATAAAATCCCTGTCATACCAAAAACCAGGAAAATTACAATTTAAATCTTTTTGCATCAACAAGTGCAAAATCAACAATCAGCAAGTGTCAACATCGAGATGAATCAGGAAAAGATTTTATCTGAAAAGATTTTAAAAGCATTTATCAAAATGAAGGTTAGGAGTGTGGTTCAGTTGGAGAGTTTTTCCCTAGCATGTGCAAGGCCCTGGGTTCAATCCCCAGCATCACCAAAATAAAACAAACAAAAAAAAAATAAAATAAAATAAAAAAGACGAGCTTGTCAAAGGAGTAGATGTTAAAAACAGAAACAAATGAAATTATAGAACTAAACATAAAATCACAGAAATAAAAACTTAATGAAAGGACAATGGGCACAATAACGAAATATATAGGAAAGAAACAATGAATGTAAAAACAGAACAATAGAAATTATCCAATCTGAACAAATACAGAAAAATGCAAATTTATGACTACTAGTATAACTATATGACATTTGACTATAAATTACATTATTATTTCCGTTTAAACTCTTTTATGCTCTTCTTAGAACACTATAAGTAAAGAAAATAAGGTAATGGTCAATATTATTGATGTTAAAAAAGTAAAAAATAGGGCTGGGGTTGGGGCTCAGTGTTAGAGTGCTTGCCTCGCATGTGTGAGGCACTGGATTTGATCTCCAGCATCACATAAAAATAAATAAATAAATAAAGGTATTGTGTCCATCTACAACTAAAAAATATTTTTTTAAAAATAAAAAATAATGGGGCTGGAGTCATGGCTCATCGATAGAACGCTCGCCTCGCATGTGTAAGACCCTGGGTTCGATCCTCAGCACCACATAAAAATGAATAAGCAAAATAAAAATTAAAGAAAATTTTTAAAAAGTAAAAATAATGCCCAATATGTTTATTAAACCTACACATAAATATAAGAACACAGAAGCTTCCCTAGTTACTGCACATACTTCTGCTCACCCTCATTATTTCCAAGGTATGAATCTGACGATACTTACCTTCTAACTAAATCTGGTTTTTGAAGAGCTGCTTGTTGTTCAACTCCAACTGGTTGGGGTATGGTCTGTAAGTAATAAAAATAGATTGTTACAACAGAAAAATTCAAGCTAAGGAGGCAATCTGTTGTTATTTCAGAAATTTTGATTGTTACATTTCCTATTTTGGTTACCTTGCAAACCAGGTAGAATGTCTTTGTTATTGAAAGTCTATATCAATCCTGTTATTGACATTTTTACTAAAGATAAAGAAAAATAAATGTAGCAATAAATCAAGTACATCTTATTCATCAATATTTTCATTAAAAATAAGCATTTTTATGTACTTTTGTTTGTCATTTTTCAACAAAGAACACTACTATTGAACTTGTAGTCCTGGTTGTAAAACTACTACTTAAAAGAATTGTTGCCATTCCACAAGAAGATGAATCAATGACTCAAACTTCCTCTTAGAAAGAAAAATACCAATCCTGCTGGAAAATAATTTTAAATATTTACCTAATCAATACTCTACATACTCCTCACTGGTGAGAACAGAGAGGAATCTTAGAATGTAAATTTAATAAAAACAATAATTTCCCTACTCGGTTAACCACTCTGTGATGGCATCTCATCTTCCAAAAGATTAAGTTTTTCAGATGATGAAAGTCCACAATGAACTGGTCCATGTCTGATTCTCTAGCTTCATCTCTGCTTGAAGCCACACTAAGATGGAGTTCTCTGCATGAGTTGGATCCTTCCATATATGCTATAACTCTACTTATGTTTCTCTACCTCCCCAGGCTATTTATTTCAAGCCCTCCTCTATCTTGTCCATTTAGCAAATATGTGGACAGAACTTCTACATATAAGAAACCTCTATGAGGTTTCAGAAATAGATCAGCAAAATTTTCTTGGAGAATTAAAAAAAAACATATATCTTAGCTCATATTCTGATTTCTAAACTAGAAAGGAAGAAGGTTCCATGTAGAAATGGATGATTTTCCATCAATGGGACAAGAAAGTACTAGAAGAGCTTTACTCTGCCAAAAAGTAAAACAACACTTAAAAGAATGATGAGGACATATCTAAAACAGAGAGGACCAAATTGAAGGAGCTCCTACTGTCAAAATCTGGGACAATTTGGGCATCAAAATAATAATAGTAAAAGAATATAACCCATTTAATAAAATAAGAATCCATGACTTCATACTCATAAGAACAAATGAACAAATAGAAAAGGAAAAGCTCTTATTTACAGTAAAAGACAACTAATAAATAAAGAGGGATGATGGAGTTAGAAAATCATAAATGGATGACAAAACCAGAAGGTGAAGGTTGAATAAAGAACAGGATATTTACTAGTTTCAAAGTTTCCTACAGATTGCTTTTTAAGTACAAAGGCAAAAAAAGGTAAATTTACACTGGAAGAATTTGGAAGGCCTAACCTTAACAAAGTAATCAAACTTAACTTCCCCAACACTGGAACAAAGCAACATCACATGTGTTCTACTACTATGTGCAAATAAAAACACATTTTATGTACATGATTTTCCTGAAAAAAAAATGTATAATCTGAATCTAAAGAAAAGGAAACTTCACATTGATTCAAATTGAAGGGCATTCTGTAACATAAATTATTCTTCAAAAATATCAATGTTATGAAAAATAAAGACTGAATAAATATTCTGAATAAATAAATATTAAAGAAAGCAAAAAAGATAAAACAACTAAAGGTAATACATGACCTTTAATTATATCACGGATCAAGCAGGGTGAAGTTGCCATAAAGGACATCATAATAATTAATGAAAATGTTGAGGTGGATAATAGATAATAATATTATATTATTATCTGTTAATGTTAACATTCTCTAAATTGGTCACTATATTGTAGTTATTTAAGAAAATGTCTATCTTTGTGTATGTGTCTGTATGCATACACACACATGTGCTGGCAGTGAGGATTGAATCTATGGCCTCACTCATGCTAGACAAGTGATCTACTATTGAACTATACTCCCAGCCAATGTCCTTGTTCTTGTACTGAAATATTCAGAGGTAAAATGGCATCATGTTTGCAACTAGCTCTCTCATATGATTCATGGGGAAAAGCATAGGTAGATGGGTAGATTATTGGACAAGGGAATGGTCAGAAAGACCCGTAATCTAATAGTGCCTTTTATCATAGCCCTCTTTATCATGCATGTTTAATATCAAACTCCAAGGACTCACTGATTCATTTTGCCTTCTTGGTGCCTCTTAGCACAGTACCTGGCACATTTTAGGGTTCCAATAAATATCTGAAGTTAGAAAGAAATAGGGAAGGAAAGTTTGACATGGAAATAAAGGCCGTGCCACAAAAATGTTTGTGAACTGATATTAGGATTCCTGAAAATCAATCATTAAAAAATAACACAAAGGAAAGAAAACAACATGGTATAAAGCTTGTTTCACAGTAAATGTTCAATAAAATGTTAGCTATACCTGTATTTTATTATAGTATTATATGTAATACAAACTAGCAGCAAGTTAGTTGTCTAGGAATAAGGGAAGGATTAGGTAAATAGGAGTGTTTATCATACTTCCACATGGCTATTATAAAGTGAAATCATGAAATCATGCCAGGTGCCATCATGTCTGCCTGTAATCTCAGCAACTCGGGAAGCTGAGGCAGGAAGATTAAAAGTTCAAGGTCAGCCTCAGCAACTTAGCAAGATCCTGTCAAAATTAAAAAAAAAAAAAAAAAAACAAGGGCTGGGGATATAGCAGTGGTAAAGTACCCATGGTTCAATCCCTAGTACCTCAAAAAAAAAAAAAAAAGGTAGGGGGAAAGGAATCATGAAGGCCAAGTAAAGGCAGGGGAAAATACACAACAATGAATGAAAAACAAAGCAGAAAACAAAACTGATGGAAAATTAAAACCACTTATGAAAAAGTCTAGAGTATTTTCACAAATTTTACAATCATAGCCATGTTATAAAAACAGCATTTTAGGCAACCCTCCATTTCCCCAATTTTTATGTTACTATATACATTCTATAATTTAGAATTTTTATGAATACTGGGTGCCTGTCTTTACATGCCATCTTTGTATTAGCACCACAGTGGCCATGGACTTTACATGCCTGAGACATCTGGGCAAAATTTTGGGCGACAACTTTATCAGAAGCTAAGATACTCACTTAAATCGCCCAGAATAGAGACTTTTTTTAAAAAAATGAGAATTGTTAAGGATAGCAAGTACATAACTGATGGGATGGCAATAAAGGAAGTCTTAAAAATTTCTCACACTTCTAATCTGAAAAATTTATCCTAAAGAAACAATTAATAATACATACAATATCTTGTACAACCACAAGAATGGGGTCCTAATTACAATAAATTATAATTCATGTATGCATAATATGCCAAAATGCACTCTATTATCATGTATATCTAAAAAGAACAAATAAAACAAATTTTAAAAAGACATAGCTATAAAAATATATCACAACATGGAATATAGTTATAAACAGCAAATATTGATATTTATCTCCTTTACTTACTCCACTAAATAAATAATGGTATAGCCATCCTCAGGGATGTTATGTAGCTCTTTAAAAATATATTTAAACATACTTTTTTTTGCTGTGCTGGGAATTAAACCCAGGGCCTCACACATGCTAGGTAAGTGCTTTATCACTGAACTAGACCCCCAGTCCTGTAAGATAATGTTTTATGTGAAAAATACCATAAAAAGTAAATATGTTATGATTACCTTAAAAATACATCTGTGTAGGTGTATACTAAATGGTCTGGAGGAGTATATCCCAAGAAATTAAATAAGTTTTTCTAAATTAATCCTGAATTGGTAATAAGAAAAACAAATTCAACCTTGTATAAAGAGACTTATCAACCCTCAAATATGATAATCTTAGGGCAGGTCCCCATTATTTCCATATATAATATTTTAGTAGTTTTAAACAAAAGTAAAAAATGAAACATTAAATTGAAAAGACATCTATACAGCTTAGATCTGAGGTAGAGGCTGGTTTTTCACTAGATCCCACTTATGGAAGAAAACATTGCCTTAAAATTTGGGGTACATTTCCCAGATCTAAGAAAAGAAAAAAAATATAGCACTCAACAACCTGAAATTCTAGCCCTATTCATGCCTGGATTGGATGATATTCCCTGTCACCCAAAAAGAAGGCTCACTGGTCTCAGATTCAATGCACATATTCTAAAGTCCTTTCCAATCAAGAGCATTTAGTGAGAACTGTCCAATCCTGTATGTCATCATGAAGGAGGAGGGTGGGCTTTCACTATTACTTCTTATCTCCTGAGTTCTCTGTTTTTGCCATTTGGCTGGACTTTGGTCTCATGCTTCAGAGTCTCAGGTTGCTCTGCTGTGCAGAAGCTGAAGATCCCAAGCAGGCCCAACTCCTAAGCTCCAGGCAATGACACAGAATCTTGCTGAGTTGCTAAGTGCCTTACTAAGTTGCTCAGACTGTCTTGGAATTTATGATCCTCCTGCCTCATCCTCCTCAGTCACTGGAATACAGTTGTCCATCACAAGACCTGGCTCATTTGCTTTTTAAAAGCACCAACTTTCATATTGAAACTGTTAACATTCAGGGATGTAGCCATTGATTTTACTGAAGAGGAGTGTGAATGCCTTCAGCCTGCTCAGAAAACTTTATAAAGAGATGTGATGTTAGAGAACTATAGAAAATTGGCCTTCCTGGCTATGACTCCTTATCATACCTGAGAATATTCACCAGAGAAGGGCACAAAACATATATTTCACAAAGTTATAAGTGGAAAATATAGAAATTGTTATCTTAACCATTTACAAAAAAAGAAAATATGGGAAAACTACAAGTGAGGGAAAACACCACAAATCATATCAAAAATCAGGCTTTATTCACTATCAGAGAATTTATACTGGAGAGAAGCCCTACAAATATAAAAAAATGTGGCAAAGCTTTTTTTTTTTAAAAAAAGATCATATTTACCACAGAAGAACACACACTGGAGAATGTGATAACGTTTTAAAGAAAACATCAATCTATATTAAGCAAAGCAGGATTTACTCTGAAAAGAAG